ATCTTGGGGTAGGTGCATACGGTCAGATTTAAGAAACTGTTCATAAATGATTGAGAATTCAAACTTTTTTTCTCTCCAACTATTTATCCAAACTATGAATAAATTATATATTTTGATTTATTATAATTAAATCTTCGGAACAAGATCTCACATCATTGTATTCCGATGACTTTTTTCTGACTCTTTTTAGTGTTGCACAAAGTGTTATTGGAATGTTTCAATAAATATTGGTTGATGTTTCACATAGTTATTTGTAATGTTGCACGTGGTGTTTTTCCATGTTCTAGCAAGATCACTGTAATAAGATCTCATATAATTATATTTGTAATGAGAAAAATATATATGTGTGTGTATGTGTGTTTTTTATCATGTGCAATTGGATTTTTTCATGTGTGAGAAATAGTGTTTCAATGGAATTTCACTTTGTAATAAATTTTAAGTTTACTGTTGCAACAAAATGTTGCTCATAGTATTATTTAGATGTTTTAATAGATATTTTTTTATGTTCACTAATTCTTTGTGACAGTTGCACATAATAATATACTTGATGAAACATCCAAATAACATGATGTGCAACATTCACAAATAAGTAATGAAACATCATAATATATTTATTGATCCTGTGTACAACAGTAAAACAACATTCAGATAAAAATCTTAAAATGTGCAACATAATCAAATTATATATGAAATATTTATTTCTAACACGTGAAACATTAAATCTTAATGATTGAAACATATATAATTTTTCAATAAAAATATAACTGTGTGAGATCTTGTTGTAAAGGTTTAATTATAAGGAATACAACCATATGATCAGAATGACAATAAGATAAATGGTTTGGAAAATAAATCATCTCAAAGGTTACTAATATATATTAATCAATGCATGCATATAGTATCATCAGGTAATAGTCATGTGATCAGCTTGCTGACGTAGTACTCTGATAGCGTCCGATATTTTGCGTTGCATCGGACGTCCGAGCGGTAGTCTCCTCCGGGAGTACATGCAGATGACTATCAGTCCTTAATGTGGTATATATACACGCACTCTGGGAAATGTTTATCTGCAGCTTCAGAGTACTGCAAGAAAATCTGATGTAGATTTGCCCGCTGCATGTACCAACTGAACTGAGATTCAAGTGTATCCAACTCTTTAGTTAGAAAGTGATTCACTCCAATCCTCAGCACCACCAAAATTCAGTAAAAAAAAATCCTACGTAATTAAGGCCGTAAATGAATCAACCCATGAACCCATTTTACAGGCTAAATAAGTGGATAATCCGATCACTTAAAATTAAATAAATAGGCTCACCGATTAATTCAGTTACAGCTTATTTCTACCTTAGGTTGCTGCCACGTAGAGAGAGATATATGTCCCTGATGACACGGCAAGAGAGGCAGCAAAACACGTCGGTTTCGATGGTACTCCCTCCATACCATAATACAACTTTGACCACTCGTCTTATTCAAAAAATTTTAAAATTATTATTTATTTTATTCATGATTTACTTTATTATCCACGATACTTTAAGCATAACTTTTTATTTTCTATATTTGTAAAAAAAATTGAATAAAATAAGTGATCAAACGTTATAAATAAAAACTCAAAATCTTTTATATTGTGGAAGGGAGGGAGTATCAAGCAGATGCGGCGACCAACCCGACTACTGTCATTCACATTCCGTCGTTGTCCTCCTCCCCTTCCTGCGTGCCGTGCACATTTTGTACAGTACACTAGGGTATTTTAGGCTTTTCAAAACAAAAACTTTTCATCTATCGTATCGAATGTTTAGACGCAAGTCCTTTCAAAAAAAATGTTTAGACGTATGCATAGAGTATTAAATATGAAAAAAAAAACCAATTACACAGTTTGCGTGTAAATTGTGAGATGAATTTTTAAGCCTAATTGCGCCATGATTTGATAATGTGGTGCTACAGTAATCATTTGCTAATAACGGATTAATTAGACTTAATAAATTTGTCTCGCAGTTTCATGGCAGAATCTATAATTTGTTTTGTTAGTAGACTACGTTTAACACTTTAAGTGTGTCTGTGTATCCGATGTGACAACCAAATTTAAATATTTTCCCCAACTAAATAAGGCCTTAGTTTATGAAGATTAGTAGATTGCTTAGCAGTGCATTGGCATGTATACATACGCTGTTCTTTTCTTCTCAAGAATGAATGGATGGATGGACTTTCTGAGCTCCTAATTAATCATTATGATTTTTTGAAGCATATATATGAATATGTTTTTGGAAAAACTAGTTTAAATTATCTTCCGACTTTATAATAGTCAACTCGTTTTAATTTGTATGTATCCTCAAATTTGTTTGTATCCTAGGCTCATGAGTCATGGCCATGCCATCGATCGAGTGGTATATATCCTGGATGACACGGCGAGAGAGAGAGGGGTGGCTAATGTGCGGCTGATCGCATCTGGGCCTCCCCTATCCCTATATGTATGTGTGTGTACACGCAAACATAAAATTTATATATACATATACATGTGTATATATGTAAAGTTTATACGTATGTATGTATAATGTATATATATACGTACATATGTGTATATATATGAAGTCTACAGGTATATTCAACTATAAAAATCTTTGTATATGCATAGGTTTTACACATATACTTTGAACATACAAAAGGTTTAGACATACGCATATAAAATTTGTACGCGGAGTGAGCGTAGCTCAACTGATTAGGTGTTTCTCGTGGTGGAACCAGCTCACCTGAGTTTAAACCATAAACTTGACACACGGATGCTTATATTTACGGCTAACTATTCTTTTAGTAGTAGGCAGCGTACCCTTCGATAACGAGACGTCTGTGATAACATTTCGTCATCTCTCATAGGGGTGAGTATGCGCGCATCTTCATTTTTACCATTTCTCTCAGCAAAAATACTAATTAGCCATCAATCACGCGCGATTGATTTCTGGATCAGAAACGTGCGCGGCTGATGGCTAATTAGCATTTTCGCCGAGAGAGGACAGCCAAAAGTGCTGCGTCGATTGCGATTGGGCTCTCGAGGCCTGCAACCAGGCCGACCGAGTGGATGTTACGTGCACATTCGGCCGGTCTTCACGCACGCACGCGTCGGTCGGTCCTCTTCCTGCGTACCGTGCAGATTCAGCCGGCCGGGTTGCTTGCCTGCTCGTCCATGCCACCAACAACTCTCGTGTCCATCCATTTCTGGAACAACCAAACTACTCCTAAATCCACCATGGATATGGCACCCATGGAGGCTACTAGTAGTAATCCCTCAATCCCTAAATATTTAACGCCGTTAACTTTTTTAAACATGTTTAACCGTTCATCTTATTTAAAAAATTTAAGTAATTATTAATTCTTTTTCTATCATTTGATTCATTGTTAAATATACTTTTATGTATACATATAAACTTTCGAATTTCACAAAAGTTTTCGAATAAGATGAACGATCAAACATGTTTTAAAAATAAATCACGGCGTTAAACATTTAGGGAAAGAGGGAGTAGTTTTTTTATTAGTTTTCTCCGATGTAAAGCGACATGACATGAAGACCAAAATGCATTTGACATTTTTCTAATGTAAAACGACATGACACATATGACCAACACGCATTAACATATGTACATTCGCTGTTCTTTTTCGCTGTTCTTTTCTTCTTATGGATGGATGCACACGCTTTCTGAACTCCTATAAACATTGTGAATTTTTCAGGAAAAAAATCTATATATAGATTTCATAGAAAAGTTTTTATATCATTTTCAACTTTATAATAGTTAATTCCTTTCATCTGTACCATCAATTAATTATCATAAGTCAATCATCTACTTCATCTATCCCAAAATAAACATACCTAAAATAAGACGAAGCATTTTATAGTACAATGGACCTACACCCTTTGTCTCCAAAAGTAACATGTGGAAGTCCAAATTCATAACTACTCCCTCCATCCCCTAATATTATTTATTTTAGTTGTAACTTACTTTATTATCTAAATCTAAAGTACTTTAAGAAACGTTTCGTTTTTTATACTTGCACAATTTTTCTTAATAAGAGATTTTATTAAGAAAAATTGTGCAAGTATAAAAAACGAAACGTTTCTTAAAGTACTTTGGATAATAAAGTACTTTGGATAACAAAGTAAGTCACAAATAAAATAAATAATAATTCTAATTTTTTTAAAATAAGACGAATGGTTAAACAATACAAGCAAAATATAAAAATCACTTATATTAGAGAACAGAGGGAGTAGTATTTGATTTTTTTTTTAACAGAGGGAGTAGACTTGGCTTGTTCAGATTCGTTCAAATTTGTTATAGTAGAAAACATCTCATATTATCCAAGATTAGTTTATCTCGGGAATTCAGCAATTTAGCGCAAAAGAACAGGGCCGCAAGCTCAGTGCCACTCGGTTAGCCATTGATGTTGATGCCATCCATTGACGAGCAGCAGTGTATCATCGTGTGGGTGACACCATGGGTCAATGGAGGTAGGCGCTACTACAATCCGCGCACCAACCGCGGAAAAGAAAAGAAGAGACCACCACTGCCTGCCTTCAGGGTTGGCATTGCCATTCAAACAAAGCAGAAGACCTGCCTCTCACCAAACCAACAAATCTCTCAACACACAAGTCTCTCTCACAAAGGAGGGCCCATCACCATCATTGCCAAACACCAACAAACATACATATCATCAGGTTCCTGACCAGAATCTCTCTCAACCATTTGCCACTCACTCAGGATGAATCACAATGTCATGATTCCACTAAGATTCGCCGTGCTGCTAACGACTTGACCCAAAAAAAAAAAAGACGCCATATACATGCACAACCTTAGGTTGCAAGATAGCATGATAAGTAGCCAGTTCCATCTGGCTGCACTGGAGCAAAACTGAAAGCAAAAATAAAATCTCAGATCACATGTTAATTTGGGCTACAATAATCTTACCAGGCTACTGCTATAATTTAGCAAGATGAAACAAAGGAATGTCAGTTAAGGTAGATAATATATTAGACTCAATTAAACAGGGGCTATTTACAAGGAGGTGGCAGCTTAGTGCTGAGAGAGAGGAAGTGCAGGGTGGGAGGGCTGAGCTTACTTTTCTACGCATACCAACATTTATATGGTAGGACTGGCGGCTGACAACTTACCTCACCAAAATAGAAAACCAAAACTGCAGCAAATAAGAGTGCAACTTGACCACCAAGGACAAGCACCATCTACAAATAGGGTACTTTGAGCTTATCCAATACATCAAAGGGGGAAAAAAAGCATTAACTCCACTACGAAATGCATTTTCTTATAACGATGCATCGCGTTCTTGTCTCCCATGTTACTTCAAAAGACCTGCCAGAAAGCAAGATGATGGAACAAAGATGAGCACCGGAGGCCGTTTATACTTTACTAGTTATAGTGAAGAAAGGTGAAATGCCACTACTCACGTTACCAGATGGGAAAGCATTAGCAGTTCTCAGAATTAAGAGACGAGGTTGACAAGCAGCCTCGCATTTCTCTGCCGACTGAGCCCCTTTCCATTGAATTAGCATGACTATCTTCTGATCTTGAGTTCAGGGTTCCCGGATTCATCCGCTGAACCTCTTCTCTTGTGTAGATGAAGATCTTGTGAACCATGTCGCAGAATTCACTGTTCAAGAATGATTGTCCGATGCAGTCAGCATTTGTGATGTCATTAAATCAGATCAGCGAATGAGGAAAGCATTTATGAGTTAACTCACATCCAGGGATCATCCCCAACTAGCATCATGTCACCTTCGTTGTCAGTGTAGACAACCATCCACTCCTTCTTAGGACCCTTCAGTTCACCATTGAAATCAAACATGTCATCCAGCTCAGCAATCAACTCTTCATAGCCATTAAACTTTGTAAGGTCCACAGACCTGCCAAGTGCAATGCCTTGCTTGTGGACCTGGAAATGTATAGTTTATCAACCATCATGTTGGAAAACAGGGAAAATCTAGAAAAAATAATTAAGCTGAGCACTTGAGGATGGTATAAGTAGTGCCAAACATGCTTCCGAAGGAAAGATTATATGTAAGAAACAAGGGTTTGATTATGCATCTATAGGAGAGATTAGAGAATGAGTTGAGCTATATTAACTTTGGCAAAAAAAAATACTGAGCAAGTTTGTACATTTGGACCTTTGAAATATAATACTACCTCCGTTTCAGGTTATAAGACTTTCTAGCATTGCCTACATTCATATAGATGTTAAAGAATATAGGCACACATATATGTCTAGATTTATTAACATATATATATATATGAATGTGGGCAATGCTAGAAAGTCTTATAATATGAAACGGAGGAAGTATATCCAAAGGTGCTCCAAAATTAATCTTATTGGGCATATCTAGGAGGGGAGGAAAACTTGTTGGAGAATTATTTAAAATCATTCACAAGGAAGAACTTGGAGATTGCAAAGAGGTGATAAGTGCAATAATAACAAGAAAGTGGTACCTTCTTGCAGCTTCTAGTTGATACACCTTGTGATTTGCACGACATGTTTCGTGAAGCTTGCTGAGAAGAAGGCTTCTCAGGAACAGAGTCTGGTTGCGGAGTATCAAGTGGCTTCATGGCCTTAGAAGGATCAGAACATTTCTCTACTTCAGTTACATCTGGTCGGCGCCATTCAGTAGCACCTGGTGTTTGTGGCGTCCCATCATATACAACACTTGATGGAGATTTCAAAGGTTCAGATTTCGCTGGGCTGTCAAGGTGAATTCCAAATAGTTTGCATGAAGCACCTTTAGCTTTCTGAACATCACCATGGGCAACAACCAGAGGTTTAGGCTTGATCAGGCGTGGCTGTGTATCATCCATGTGGGAATTTGGCATCATATGGCCAAACCAACCCCCTGAGTATTGCTCAGTACCTCGGCCTGGCAGTGCAGCATAAACTCCATTCCCAAACTTTGTATTTCCAGGCCTTTGAGACAACACACCAGCTTCCTGAATCATTGAATAGTTCTGTTTGTTTAATCCAAGGCGAGTATTTGGAGGCATGAAGGACCATGAGCTGGGGAACATATTGTGATTGCTCTGTTGATCTTGATACTGAGCATTTACTGTGTGCCAGAAGTTAGAATGGCCTGCAGTAATCTGCTCAGGTAAAGAACAGAAACCCTGTGGGATTTGTACATCTTTAGGTGGCTGAAATCCAGATAGCATCTCACTGTAACTCTCAGGCTTGCTCATCTGCATCCGACCATCTGAACCTAGCTTCCACTGTATGGGAGTGTTATTTTTCTCACGATCAAATCCAGATGGACGCATGATTGATTTCTGAGCACTTTCTAACTCGCTGCTATTGCCGAAACCACTTTTTGGGGTTGCATTCTCTTGTGTCTGGAAGGTCCTTTGCGTACCATTTGGTTCAGACTCGACCACAACTTTCGTAGCAGCTAGATTGAAGAAAAGACGTGCATTAGTAAAGACAACGAAGCTATACTGTAGATTTCATATTGATGACAAGGTCTGACCTTCTTTTGCTATAGCAGAAGAGTCAGCCGGCAAAGCGGTAGCATTCGGACGAAGCCTCTTGGTTCTTGGAACTGGTAGTGGGTTGACAGGAGGAGGGCTTACAGCAGGTTCTATTTGCCAGGGAGAAACTCTTTCAGGGCGAGGTATGGAAGAAGCTTCATCCCATCTCACCTAAGTAACACAAAAATCTGTAAGAAATTCTCAGAAAATAAATGTTATTTAAATGGAAAGTGGCGAAAGAAATAAACCTTAAGGGAGCGCCATTTTGATTCAGGCCAGCCAGCTGGATCAGAATCCCCCATTCCGACAATAGTCCCAGTGAATCTAATGCATGAGCATTAAAGATTAATCGGTTGATTCAGATACAGAGGAATCACCTGTCAAAAGTAGAATGCATATCCATCTAAGTGCTACCTTTGCTCTGGAGCCTCTTCACCTTCAAACCTCATCTTAAATCTCATCCCAATGGAGTAATTTTGTTTCAGTGATTCCATATAGCGATCGTAAGGGACCACAAACTCGGCTGGACTTGTCCTGATGAAAAATAGAAGATTTCAGCGATAGCGTTTAAGTGCTAGCACAATCGGACAAATTTAATTCTATCACATAGCAAGATCAGTTCAGAATTCAGGTGACAAGTAAACAGACAATGCTCCCAAAGTGCATAAATAAAATCATGTGCATAAAATCCAGAAAAACTTCACAACAAACCTAGGCTTGTAGTAGACAGTGAACATGGTCCCTGTGTTAACAGCATGCCATGCTGTGGCAAGAACCCCAAGATGCATGCTGTGGCTTGATATCACTGAAGATGGAACATTAGTTTGCTGCCTCATTGCACGCCTGACTCCAACACGCAGTTCCCCGTTCTCACCTCTGTGCAGATCATATAGGGGGATATTTATTAAGCAGTACAGGGGAAAGCACAGGTAGACAAAGCAAACACTGTGTCAAATTATCAAACCTGAGAAAGATAAAGGCATCCCCAGCAACAAGCCGTTTGGCACTAACAAACACACTCCAGCCACTCTGCAAAAGGTGTCTTCGTGGTTGACCTGATGTTGATCAAAAAGATATAGCTCAAGAAGAGTTGAAGCAAAAAATTAACTTCCTTCTAACCTAGGTGCAATCGAAACTCGGGCAGGACAACATAATCAATTAGCACAACTCTTACATCACAAGGGCATATGAAAGCATAAACTACTTGTCCTAAGAAACTAGAGCACGACCACTGCAGCATCAACCAACAAAAGTTGTAGTTATCCATACTCCATCAAGTGTAGGCCCATGCAAAGAACAAAAATGCACAAGAAATTGTGGGAAGCACAAACTGGTCCCTCTAATAAAGCCATCAAGATAATACGGGATAGGCATCGTACCAAAAAAGTGCATTTAATACCAATATTATAAATGAAGGGGTTAGTCAAATGCAAGAACTGTTCTTACACTATACGATCAACCCAAGAGCAGTGTAAAGATGTCTCCTAGTCATGATATCATGGAAACTTGTGTTCATTAGCAAAGAGCAGTGAGCATCACACGTCCTTCAGAAAATAGAGAAATAAGTACGATGTTGGAAGAGTGATCACCTCTGAATATGTGACGAAAGCGCCATTCCACACCGTGCAGATCCTTGGCCACCAGCTCTTGTGTTGGAGGCTGACGGCTCATATCCTGATCAAGAAGCCAAAGCAAAGATCATCACTACAACTCAAGCATCCTAGTAAGACCTAGGACTACAAGTACATCACTGAAAACAACATCAAGTCAAAGAACCAGTGGGACGAACCAGTGGTGGGAGGCATTCGTCCGCGTGGCGTCGCAGCACCGAGAAGCCGCCATGTGTGCTCGTGTCCGAGGCGGTCAATGTCTTGCAGAATGAGTGCACCCGTGGCCTAACATGCCCAGCTGCTGGAGCAGAAGGCACCTCCTCCTCAGTAGAGCCGTTATCTTCTTGTTGCTACACAACAGACCAACATTTTTTTTCCTTTCAAAACGCTCAAAACTTCTATCCCGGAATGTATGAAGCAGTGACAGCGTGCAAACTGGAGACATTTTTTTTTTTACCTTCGATTCAGGAAGCAGAGTGAGCTGAGCATAAACCTCGTCGGTGTCTGGCTCGGCCTACAAACAGAGCTATATGTCAACCACACATACAACCAAGAATGAAAGCTCTCAGAATTCACAAGAAACACAAAGCAAGTACCTTCAGCTCAACGTTCATAACCTCACACAGGATCTTCCATGGGAGATTGTACAACTGCATCCGCTGCTCGCCTACCTGGTTGGTCGAGGCCTCCACCTGAAAATGGACAGAGGCAAAGAATTCCAAAATCAGCCACCGAAACACTGATTCCAGCCAAGAAAAAAAATACATTTGCAAGAATGCAGGAAGAACAAATTATCACTAGTTCAGTACCAAGCACGAAAATCCCCAGTTTTTTTTTCTTTTGCGAAGTAAAACACAGAATTCCGAATTTTGGCAACCAAGAAGCCGAATTCGACTCATAGGCGAAGCGATCCGGCACAAAAACTACAGAATTCCCCATTCAAATAGTTCCAATCTCACACTCAGCAACTGCGACAACTCGGAAACTTAGTTCGAACCAGAGAATTGCATACAGTATAACCGAAAAAACTTGGAAAAAACTTCGAATTTTAGAGAGGCAAAACGTAAACCCCAAAACCGCATCACCAAAAATGCTCAAAACCCGCCAAAATTCCACGACACAAACTCAAGAAAGCGAAATTCGCCAACGGCACAGACAAATTCCCCCCAAAATTTATCTTAAAAGATTCCCATCGCCGCTAGGACGCATAAACACCAAAACCTCAAGCATTTGAACAAGTCAAGAAGAAAAAAAACGAGTGGCTTCAAAACAGCTCAAACCCGAAGACGCCACTCGGATCAACAGAAACACGAAGAGAGAGAAAAGAGAGTTGAAAACCAAAAAAACTCTCAAAATCAAACGGCGGAAAAGGACCAGGAAGAGAAATCGAAATGGAACTAATAAACTCTCTAATAAAAAGCGGGGAATCGCGGAGAGGCGAGAAAGGCGGCCGCCGCCACCGCCACCACCCCGCGCCCGAATTGGGCGGCGCGCGCTCTGCTCGACCTCGAGCTCGGACTCGGACTCACCTGCTCGATGTGCCCCTGCGGGAAGTAGAACACCTTCTCCCCAACCCTCGGCACCGTCACCAGCGGCCCCGCGCACGCGCTCCACAGCTCCGTGAACAGCGCGTCCTCCCCTCCTCCTCCTCCTCCTCCGCCGCCGCCGCCTGCTGCAAGCCCAAAGCCCAAAAGCCGGCATCACAAGCCAGCCCACAAAAAACCCACGCGCAAACCCACACACGCCCACCCACCACCGAGAGGAGCTCACCTCGCGCCACCGCCGCGGCAGCAGCATCCCCCTCACCGCCGCCGCCGCCGACCTCCGCCGTCGCCATCACCCCACCAGATCTTCACATCCCCCGCGGCCACGCCCGAATCGCGCGAATTCCCCCGCCGGATTCGCGCCCCCCGCCCCCTCGAATTCCCCTCCGATTCGCAGCAGCAGCACAAGCAGCTTCTCCTCCTCCTCCTCCACCACCTCCTCTTCTTCCTCTCCTCTCCTCTCTTTTGTTTTAAATTTTTTTTTTACTGGGTGAATTTAAGCGAGAAAAAAGAAGAAAAAAAAAACAGTATTGGCACAGCAATTGTGTGAGCTTTAAGGCGGGGGGGGGGGAGGTGGGTGTGTGTTGGCGGTGAGGTTACCGCGGGCGGGAGGAAGAAGAAGCAGAGGGGGTGCAATAATTTCACCGGGATGGGGGCTGGGCTGGGCTGGGTGGGTGGGTTTGGGTTTGGGTGGGTTGGGGGGTTGGGCTTGGGCTGTCTCGCTCCCGCAGACAAGGGGGTAGGTGCAATAAATATTCGTGTTGGGGGTGGATCCGGGGTGTGTCCCCTCGATGGCATTTTCGTGATTCTTTAATGCCGTTGTATACGGCTGTACTATTCTCCTGTCTACTACTATTTTTTTTTAGAGCAGTGGGAAAGAGAACATAGGGTCTGTTTAGTCATAAAAAAAATTGTAGATGTCACATCGGATGTTTAACCGAATATCGGAAAGGTTTTTTTAACACGAATAAAAATAAATAATTTCATAACTCGCCTGGAAACCGCGAGATGAATCTTTTAAGCCTAATTAATCCATCATTAATACATGTGGGTTACTGTAGCACTTATGGCTAATCATGGACTAATTAGGCTTAAAAGATTCGTCTTGCGATTTCCTCCCTAACTATACAATTATTTTTTTCATTTATCTATATTTATGTTTCATGCATCTGTCCAAAGATTTGATGTAATGTTTTTGGGAAAAAAATTTGGGAACTAAACAGGACCATAATACTTTCGGATACTTTTATTATTAAGGATATATACAAGGACAGTGATATCTACTTACTCTATTCCAAAATAAATCCAACCTAAAAATAAATTTCGACAAAACATATATTTAGATTGATTCCTAGGATTGGAATTATTTTGGGACTAACCAATGTAAGATCAAAAGGATGTAGAAAAATAAATGAAACAATAATCAATAATTTATATTTGAATGTTTGTATTATTAATGGTTTAAAAGTGAATTTTGAAAAAATAAAAAATGAAAAATTTAGAGTCAACAATAAAGTTAAGTTTTCAAAAATTTAAGTTTTACCTAAGCTAACAACCAAAAAAAAACGGCTTTTAGAGCCTCAAAAGTACCTTAGGTTCTGGTTTCGACTTCCCATGGGAGCGAATTTTCCAGGATTTAACGGCTTTTATTATCTAAAAACACAACCAAACAATGGGAGTCTTAAAAAAACAATGATGATATAGAATTAGTGAAGTTAGGAATACTCGGTTTTAAGATATTTTGAATCCAAAAATGTGCTAGATAGAACATGAGCTCCAGCATTTGCTTGCTGGCTTATAATGCATAACCAATTTTTGAAAAAATAAAATTTGATTTGAAGTTGATTTTAAGGGTTTTAATCATCGGGAAGTATCTAGTGAGAACCATACCTAAATGTTTAGTAAAATTATTAGAGACAGGTTTAAGCATGAAGTATATTTTTACCAAATCTCAAGTCCAAACTCAATTTTATCTGAGAGAAAAAAAAATCACATTTTATGTGCATAACGTCTCTTACTATTCATCGCAAATTTGAGTTCGAACTTGAGATGTGATGAAAATAAATTTGAGTTGTGAAGAAAAAAAATTCTTCTTTTTTTTACTTCAAAACAAATTTGAGTTCGAACTTGAGATGTGATGACAATAAATTTCATGTCTACACGTACTTCTGAAAAAAAAATTCATAAATCTGTGAAACTTTTAGATCCGATTTTCGTGGACTTTTCACTCATTTTATGGATTTCACCACACATATTCCCATCATCATAGTGGCTTATTATTCAGCATTGGATAAGAGTAGAGATAAACATTTTATTTCTATAAATTATGTTTTTCTTCATTTTCCCTCCAAAACGGTTCTCTTATGTTTATGAAAAATAAGAGGCTAAATTAAGAAAATTAAGCACTCGTGTTTAGGAGAAAAGTTGGGGGCAGTAGTAGTAGTGGGGAGGACGCAGGGGGGTGGAGAGGCAGAGGGGGTGTCAGGTCAGGTCAGAAGGCTACATGGGGCTCGGGGGACGTGTCGAGGAATCAGAGGCCATGTGGGGCCCACCTGTCTTTTTCCCTTCCTGACGCTGACAGACACAACACCACCACTACCACCACCGCATATCCCAACGCTGCCGCCTTAAATTCGATGCGAGAATACTCCCCCTTTTTTTTTCCTTTTAAAAAATTACTATATTGATTTTTTTTAAAAAAAATACAGTAGAAACACAAGTTCATAACGCGTGCTCACTCAACTGTATAAACGCACATACGTGCAATTTCACAATACCTTACAAATAAACCGGCGGGTACGTCGTCCCTAAAAAAAAATAATTAGTCGCTCGTGTTAAGTTTAGAAATCTAGATAGATTAATTACAGCACAAGAAATCTAGTATCAATTTTTATTAACTCTCTGCTACTACTAATGGTAGCACGGTAACTTTTGTGAAGTTCGCTGTTAAACACTGTCAAATCAACAGCCAAATCGAGCTGAAAATATTGGAACCATACGATCTGGCTCCCACACGGAATGATCGGAGAATGGAGCAGCACAAGTTATAACCGAGATACTTTTTCACCTTCCAATCGGCTACCATCATCGTATCTTACCCCAGTACTCCACCGGAGTATGTTCCAGAGCAGTGCAGTAGCGCGTGATTAATTAAACATTGGTAATTTTTTTAAAAAAAGATCAATATAATTTTTTAAGCAACTTTCATATAGAAACTTTATATAAAAAATGTATTGTTTAGCAGTTTGAAAAGCGTACGCGCGGAAAACGAGATGAAAGAGGCTGAGTTTTTCCCCTAACTTTCCTAACTCATCCCCTCATTTTTCATGCGCATGTTTTTCAAACTGCTAAACATTTTGTTTTTTGCAAAAAAAATTCTATACGAAAGTTTATTTAAAAATCATATTAATTAATTTTTCAAAAATTTTAATAAATACTTAATTAATCATAAGAAAATGAGTCGCTCCGATCACAGCCTTATATCTACGATGAACGGGTAATAGGGAATTTAGAGCATATGACCACTCCCTCCGTATAATAATAATAATAGCTCAATACCAAGTTTAAATCTGAACATAACATACTTAGGATTAGATTTTTCTTGACACAGAGGAAGTGCGGTGTAGAGAATGATGGTAGAGGAGTACGTAGGAGTACTATGCCATGCATGGGAATATGATTTTCTATAGTTAGTTTTTATAAAGTCCTTAGATCTTAGTACAATTAGCATTCACAAACCTAGAGTTATAGGGCAAAAGACTTAAGGAAAAAATTTTAATTATCCCCTTCAACTATTTAGTGCATACGAATTATCTCCTCAGACCCAAAAACCGGACATCTTTCACCCTCAACTATTAATATCGAACGAGTTTACCCCTGACTCAATTCAGAATGGTTTTGATTATACACGACAGTCCAATTTCAGCAATTCTTCTTTTTAAAATCAGCGAGCCCACCTGTCAGTCTCTCATCCTCTCCATCTCTTTCACATCCCCTCTCTCTCTCCCTTCACATCCATCTCTCTATCACTGAGCGGCGAAGGGGGCGCCGAGGACTACGGCGGGTGGGCGGAGAGCCAATGAAGAAGGTAGCTCGGAGCGGCGGAGGGGGAGCCGAGGATGGAGGCGGGCGGGGGCAAGGCCTGAGGCAGCTCGGGACGGTGGAGGGGGAGCCGAGGATGGTGGCAGGCAGGGCCGGGGATAGAGGCAGCTCGGGGCGTCAGAAGGGGAGCCGAGGAAAGCGACGAGTCGACGAAGATGCCCAATCTATTAGGGATGGCGGCGGCTGGTGGCGGAGGTAGTTAGGGGAGGCGACGGCGGAGGGCGCAGCTGGATGCTGAGGACGGTGATACAAGGCAGATTCTCTCCCTCTCAACCCCCCTCTCTCTTCTTCCTCCCCGTCAATCGGTTCGGACGGCGAGCGGCGAAGGACGGCGCGGCACAGCAGCGGGGCCGAGGAGCTTGAGCAGCTGGGCAAGCGGCAGAGGCGGCTCCTCCTCAGCCTCCGGTTTTGCGCGCCTCCTCCGCGGCCGCTTCGTGATCAGCTTGCCTCCGTCATCATTCATTTTTCAAATTTAAAATAATTAGTACTTTTCTCCAAAAAATAATTAATACTCAAATAATCATGTACTAATAGCTCGCCTCATTTTACATATCTTCTCATTTTCCCTCCTCTCAAATACTCCCTTAGAACATCCCTAGCAACTCCTCTGTCCGGTTATCCATCCTCTGTTTGGCGTAGGGAGGTGAAAAACAAGGCTCCAACAGAGTCTCCATTACACATGCCATTTTTAGAGGTCCTCCAAACCGAGCCCTTCACAAGCTAAATATGACAGTTCTCTCTCCTCATGCCATCCTCCAACTACCCACCTCCCAATCGAACTCACGCAACCATATGGACCGCATACCGTGGGGGAGAGAAACGGTAGAGAGGAGGTGCATATCGGATCTGGAAATGGAGATCACCAGATGTTGATGCAAAAAATACACACTGGCCTGGGAGATCTACTTAGCTCTAGTGCAGGTCCAAAGGTTGGTGAGATGCGGGCGTGCCAGTCAGTTGGATCCTGCAACTGACAAGATATGTAAATAGTAGATCAAACAGCCGATCGGCTGACAAGCCGATGTAGTAGTTCCAGCTGATGCCAATGCCAGCCGATAGCAATAGGGTTTTGAGCTATCGGCTATATGTCCAATGTATATAATGATATGAAGGCAATCCACTAATGATAATATAATATAGAAATATAATCCAGTATAAACCAATCGGCTAACAATATGATAGAATAAGCACTGATCCGAAGGTTAAAGCATACATCGGCTGGAGGTCCGATGTCTAAAATCCAAACGATTAGATGAAACCTTTGTCGCAATCGGCTAAATCCAATACGTATGCAATCCTTGTAAGC